ACCAAAAGATAGCTGCTGGGATATGAAGAGCTCGGAGGTTAAGATTGGGTGTTGTCATTCAAGATAGAGTACAGTTGCTGTTACAACACAGTGTTGGGTTTGGCTACTGAATGGTTTTCAGAGTGAAGGCTCTTAGCATGGAGATAAGCTGGCTGTAAAGCTGGGTTGTTGAGAGTCAGCCGAGCCAGGGAGTGTAGGAATTCAGAACCAGACTGCAGTCTTTTGTGAATAGAGTGATTGACTGACATTTGCCTAGGGGTCTTGGCAAAAGGAGAATGGGTGAGTCCTGGGCTCAGGGCTGTCTGATAGCCTTTTGTAATCTTATCATGGTTGGAAGTCAGGTACTTTCCTTTAGATGTTGACCCTCCCTGGTAGTATCAGCTTATGGCTTTTCCTGGAACCCAGTGCTGCCTGCCGTGGCAGCTGTGTGGCCTGGGCCCCGTGTGTGACCAGGTTGCCCTGGGCCCCACAGTAAATAGGATAAAGAACACAGTCATCTCCGTTGTCAAAGTGTCAGTTTTGTGGGAAACTGTGTTTATGCTGACAGACAGAGACACTGGAATATATGAAAACTATTTAATGTCACTGTTTCCACTTCTGCTTTCTAATGTTCAACATCCTTTGCTTTTACTTAGTGTACCATAAAGCATCCTACTGTAAAGCTGTTTTATTTTTGGCAAAGCTCAGCTGTGAGTGCTTTTTTTTGGCTTTTTGGCTTCAGCAATCTTGTCTCTGTGAAATGTGTGGGTAGACATAACCAACCCTCAGTCCCAGCTAGGGTGAGAAAACTGAGAAAGGGAGAAGGGGGGAGAAGAGAGAGAGGCAGAAGCTACCTTTGCAGAAGAAGGTCAGAGACAGCGGGTAGGGTGGGTGGGAGGGAGGGAAGGAGGAGTGGAGATCCCCTTGCCTCAGTGGAAGGGAGGGAGAGGTTGGGGGTAGGTGGAGCTTGTCTTTTAAAGGGACAGGGTACCCAAATGACAGACCAGGCCAGATGATTACATCGGCTATGACATTGAAGGACATGTTTTTCCCCCTCTAGCAATCATAACTCCTATAACTCCTCAGGGAGGAATGGAGCCTTATAAGCACATCTTCACTCCATGGTGGGTTGCCAATCAAGTCATAACTGCTATGAATTTAAAAGCATGTCATGTTCAAAAGATAGACTTCCACAACACCTTATCCTCTGTTTTGAAAAAAGTTTTTATTTTAAAACCTTATTTTTTATTTTATATGTATGGGTGTTTTGTGATCATGTATGTCTGTGTACGATGAGCATGCAGTACCTGGTGGAAGCCATAAAAATGTGCAGATCCCCTGGGACTGGACTAATACATGGTTGCAAGCCGCCATGTGGATGTTGAGACTTGAACTTGGGTCTTTTGGATAAGCAGTTGGTTTGTTTCACTGTAAACCATCTTTCCAGCTACTCTGTGTCTTATACTTTTTAAAATTTGCTCTTTCATGATGTTCCTAAGCCTTGGAGAGGGTGATATAGATGTCCCATTTAGGGCAGAGCATCCAGCAGTCACTTATTCTTAGCAGTTTGATCGGTTAGGAGCTTTTGCAGTAACCGTTCCCACTGTGAAAAGAAACTTATGTGACCAGAGCAGACTGCAGCACTAGTCTATGGCCATAAACAGTTGTTTAGAAGATGATATGGCACATACATCGTGTCCATTTGGCAATGCAACAGTAGTACTTAAGAATTTGCTTTCAAAACTAGAAAATATATCAGTTCATAAAGTCACTAAATCAATCTCAAAGGGGATGTCTCCTGAATCCTTTATTACATTAATTTTGGCATATGTAAAATATGCTTCAGATTCAGTCAGATCATGAACTACTTAAAACAAAAAGCATGGTGTCTTTTTGTTTGTTTGTTTTTGTTTCTTTGAGACAGGGTTTCCCTGTAGCTTTATAGCCTGTCCTGGAACTAGCTCTTGTAGACCAGGCTGGTTTTGAACTCACAGAGATTTACTTGCCTCTGCCTCCCGAGTGCTGGGATTAAAGGTGTGCGTCATCACGGCCCGGCGCACTTTTTTTTTTTAAGGGTACCAGAAGGTACTAACATGTGTGACTCTGCTCTAGAAACCAGGAATAATTGTGCTAGCAGAAAATATGACTTACAGTGTGTTAAACCATCTCTGCCTCTTCCAAAAAAAAAAAAAATTGATAATATTGGAAAGAATTCCCATCTCACATTTTCCCTTTGTAACTACTAGTCTAGTTTGCCTCCTATTCCTTTTGTTGTCTGTTAAACCTTTAGACCAAAGACAGTAGCTGATAAAAGATGAAGAAAATTTGAGGGATTAAAATTTCATTCTTTTATAGAGAGTCATAAAATAAAGTTAATGCTTTAAAAAAAGGTAAAGTCTTTAAAGATACAGAGTAAAGTAATAGAGTAAAAATAAGCCACGTAAAAATGAAAAATTCACAGAGAGTCTGGATTCTGTATATTATTGTGTTTTCTTTAAATTTTTTGACTGTCAAAGAGCTCTAAGTACAGAGAGACTTTTCATTGTATGTGCTGCTAAGCAAATCTACCATGTATATTATAAAGGAACCTTGACTTCAAAAGTTGGGTCTAAGGATATGATGCTTTGAAAAAGAGGTTCTTTGTTTGTTTTCACAAAAGATGAGACCCCGTGGATTGCTTCTAGACCATTATGTTTTGAAAGACCACGCCCTCCTGAAAGGTTGCCTAAACACCCTCAAAAAATTACTTCACCCAACTGCTGACTGAGATGAACCTAGCACACAGGATACACCACAAAAGACTGATTAACAGCGCCCCCATACAGGACAAGGCAGTTTGGAGACAAAAAAACTGCGCTCATATTCCCAAATATTGTTTATAAATGTTCTTTTACACTTAGAGGGGGATATGATATAGATATGATTAATTTGCATTGGTGTGGATCTTGCTTTATTAATATAAATTTAAGGTCAATCTTGTTATATGTATATTTCTGCTCTTGATTAAGGTATTGTGACTGTGTAGTTCCTTAAAAAATTATAATTAGGAAAATAAGTTGTTAATGGATAATTATCGATAATAGTCAAGCTTGTTTGTAATCATGTTAGTTAGATTTTCTAGATATATAGAGATATATTTCAGTTAGATAGGTATTCTATTTCAAAGACTACTAAATATGGAATTTAAAATATTTTAATAACTTAGGGTTTTTCATGACAATGAGACATGTCTGCTCCTGGCAGGACCAAGCTACTTTCTGAGGAAGTTGGGCATCGAAGAGGCTCCTTATGGAGTTGGTTAACTATTTGGGCAAGAAACTGCCCTTGCCTGAACTGTTGCATAAACTGGACATAAAAAACCCGCAGAGAGATGATGCTGATTATTTACAGTTTATAGTTTTAGCATATCAGAATCCACCCATGTCATATCAGCATTTTATTCCTTCAGTATTTTTCTACATTTATATTATATTAGGACCTTTTTCTTTAAGATAGTTATTTTAAATATAATATATTTTGATCACATTCTTTTTTCTTTTTAGATATCTTAGTGATTACATTTCATATTTCTTTTCAGAGTTCTTTTTTGTTGTACTAGGTTTTTGTTTTTGTTTTTTGTTTTTTGAGAGAGTCTTACTCTGTAGCTGTTATATAACTTTTCCTGGGGTAAATTGAATAATAGGGTACCAACAACGTACCAGAAAAATAATACCACAAAAATGTAGCACGGTGAAGAGTTTATTGGGAATATTTACAGGACTGCAGTTGATTCAGAGGCAGCTGCATCACAAAAGTCCCCGCCCTAGTGTGAGTGCTGTCTAATGAAAGCTGCATCCCTGGGCCTCTCTGTGCAATGTGGACACAGCTTGACAACTCCTCTTCTCTTCTCCCCAGCAATTGCTGTTGCTTGTATAACCTTGAGGAGGAGTCTTATGAATCTTGTAAGTTTTAGCTATTTCCTGAGAGTTTGAATTGTCTGATTCCTGATACTGAGTCTTATACATTCTTCCTTTTTTTTTTCTTCTTGAGACAGAGTCTCACCACATTGGGCTGACTGCCCAGGAACTCACTATATAGACCAAACTGGCCTCATACTCAACAGAGTTTGAGTTTCCTGGCTTCTGTTTTCTAAGTGTTGGGATAAAGGCATGTACCACTACTTGATTTTTAAGAGCTCCTTCCATGATGCATTGTTTCAGTTTGAAGGAAATTGCTGCATAGTAGTACCCAGGGGTGGCCCATAGTTCCCTAGCCCAAATTGACCTGGAACTTGGAACCATCCTCTGTTATCAGCCTTTTAAGTGCTTTTTTATTTTTAAAGGCATTAACTAGTCATCTTGAGGGTCGTCCTATGAAAAAGTATTATCCCCCCTTCTATCAGCAATTCACTAGGAACATCAGTTTTCTTTCAGGTTGATAAAGGTGCTGGAAAATGGTATTAGCAATAATTTTTGCACATCCTTTTTAAATATTTCTCCTTAGGCATACAAGTATGCTCTTTCTAATCTTACAGCAAACCTGTTTCTTACACTCACATGGCTAAGCTGAAATGGAATTGAAACTGAGGATAACTGGATGATCAGTTCCACAGGCTTCTCAACCTAGTTTAGAAGACAGGGAATGAACATTTTTAATATTATTATAACATTATAGGAGAAATCCTATATTTCTCAAGTTAGTTTGGTTGTAGACATCATTATTTTTCAAAACTTATTCAGAGATCAGTCATCTCTGAGTGGATCCCAGAAATGCTGCCTGAGTCAATCTATACTAGCGATTGCAGTCTTCTAAATAACAGTGTTTGGGAGGGAGAACTTGGTTTTTTTAGTTATGAGTTTCACCATGGCATCTTCAAACATCTGTGTCAGTCTTTCGAACTAGCTTTTCTAACGGCTTTTCCATTGGTAGTGTTTTTAAAGGCTATAGTTGCTTGTTAGCGTTTCTAGTTGAACCAATCTTCTATTCTTGTTCATAAGGAACTTCCTAGTAAGTTGTTTTTGCTTCTTTGTTTTTTGAGACAGGATGTACTCCAGGCAGGCCCGGAACTTCCTATGTTTTCATGGATGACCTTGAACTGCTAGTCCTCCTTCCACTGCAGTTAGCTGAAGTTGCAGGTAAGTGCTACCACGCCCACTTTATGTGGTCTTGGAGGCTGAACTCATAGATCTGTGCATGCTATGCAAGCGTTCTGAACTACATCTGAAGTCCTTGCTTTTTTATTTTTATTTTTGAGACAAGATTTTGCTATTTAGTCCAGTCTAACCTCAAATCCCCATTTTGCCATCATACTTCAAATGCTTGGATTACAAGTATGTACTATGTCTAGCACTTCCCAGAATTTTTAATACTAAAACGAAAAAGATTTATTTATTTTTATTTTATGTGCATGAGTGTTTGCCTGTTTGCATGTGTGTGCATGTACTATATGTGTGTAGTATCTGCAGAGGATAGAAGATGGCGTCAGCCCCTGTGGAACTGAAGTTATACCATGTGGGTACAGGGAAGGTGCTGGAAGGGTTTGGGAACCAGACCTGGGTTCTGTACAAGATTATTAAGTGCTTTTAGTTGCTGATCCATCTCTCCTAAAACAATTTTTAATCCAAATTGGTGTTTTACTCTGCCCTCTCTGTTCTAAGATTATGTCAATCATAAACTCTTAGTGTTTAGAGATCCTTGAGAAGATCTAGTTCATCATTTTTCTTTAAATTTTTTGCAGGTTAATAAAATGACAGCTGGGCTGGAAAGAGATGTCTCAGCCATTAAAGGCTCGGCTCACAACCAAAGATATAAGAAAGAGACAGCCATTTAGTAATTTGCATTTGAGTTTGAACCTTGGTTATACCCTTTTTATTAGCTCTGTAATTTTAGAAGAGTTACTTCATTTTTTCTTTCTTTCTTTTCTTTTTCTTCCTTTTTTTTTTTTTCCCTGAGATAGAGTTTTTCTGTGTACCTCTTGGCTGTCCTGGATCTCGCTTTGTAGACCAGACTGACCTCGAACTCGCAGCAATCTGTCTGCCTCTACCTCCCAAGTGCTGGGATGCTATTTCATTCTTTAAACATTTCTTTGTCTAAAATAGTATCTTGAAGAGTAGCTATATGAATCAAATAAGAGGGCCAGTAAGATGGCTTAGCAGGGAAACTCTGACCACTAAGCTTGGAGCCTGATTCGCTCCCCAGGACTTGCATGGTGGAGGGAGAGAACTGACTCCCAAAGGTTGTGCTCTCTCCTCCACATGGGTACTGCAGTGCGTATGTGCACAGCAGATACACAGAATGTAATATAATTGTTGTAAGCAGGCCAGAAAGATGGATCAGTGGGCAAAGGTGACTACCACCAAGCCTAACAGCCTGAGTTTGACCCCTGGGGCCAGTAGCCTGGAAGAGAACTGACTCCTTGGCTTTCATCTGTGTGCCTGCGCTTGCCCCCATCACCCAGAGCAGTAAGGACATACATGTAGTTTAGAGAAAGTTGAACAAGAAGCAGCAGAGAGGCTGTTGGAATTTGGGGGTTGGTTTAAAAAACTTTTAAGCCAGTTATGTTAGCATAAGCCTTTAATCCCAGTATTTAGGAGAAAGGTCTCCCTGCATTCAAGGCTGACTTAGTTTCACATGCTGAGTTTTAGGCTAGCCAAGATTACATGGAAAGACCCTATCTCAAAAAGAAAAAAAAATTTTATTAGAATTTTTTTTTAAAAAATAACAATCCAAATTCCCACTCCCTCCCCTCCTCCCATTCCCTCCACACAGCCTCCCACTCCACTCCCCTCTAATCCTCAGAGATGGTAAGGCACTTTGCTTTGTGGAAGATCCAAGGCCCTCCCTACTACATCTAGGCTGAGCAAGGTATACAAAGAAAAATGTTTTTAACGGAAAAAAAAGACTTAACTAAGAAAATTCATGTTTTGTGAAGCATGTTGAAGGTTCTCAGTCTTAATTATCCTCCCCCTTTTCCCTAATGAGATGCTCTCGATTTTATAATGTGAATGAATTATGAAATGGATGGAAAGGAGGGACTGTCCTAAGTAGTTTTATGCTGGCATCAGCTACACTTTTAAAGTGATGTTGTCATGACAACTGCAGGTTGTATGGGAGTTAAAATCACTTTTCTTCCAGCTTTCCAGCTGACATAAGAAGCACAGCCTAGACCTGACTGGGTAAACACCGTCCTATTTATTAGCTCACCTATTATTAATGCTAAACGAGCTCTGGTGCTGACTTCTGTTGTTTCTGAAACTTTACTGTTACTGTTTAAAACCTGATAGGTCTTCAAAGAGACTTAAATCACCTTACAGCATGCGGGAAGTATCTTTCCTAAAGTGGTCTTAGCCATTAGTATGTTCAAACTAGGGTGCATATAAGGTAATGCACCCTAGAATACTTGTTTGGTGTTTGTGTGCTTATGGGTAGTACTTTTCAAATGTAACCTGAGCATGGACAGTCATTTAAAACAGTGATTATAGTAAAAATCTATAGGAAAGCTTGAGTTTCACAACATATTACACCCTTAGCTGAAAAAGTATGGTTACTGGACATTGTGGTGTACACCTGCAACCCCTGCGTCTGAGAGACTGAGACAGGAGGATCTTGAGGTTGAGGCCAGCCTGGGCTACATGTGGAGTTGGAGTCAGAAGCCTAGGCCACAAAGAGAAACCTTGTCTCTCTATAAATATATATAATATATAGTGTATATTATATATGTGTGTATGTGTATATATTGTGTATGTATGTGTATATATATTTCCCAGTTATCAAAGAGGCCCAGGCAAGAGGATTGCTAAGTTTTATTTTATTTTTATTTTTTTGAGACAGGGTTTTTCTTTGTAGCCCTGGCTGTCCTGGAACTCACTCTGTGGACCAGGTTCGCCTCAATTTTACAGAGATCCACTGCCTCTGTCTCTGTTGTTGTGGTCGTAGACAAATTATTTAAGCTATCTGTAAAGTGTTGTGAGACTGCGGGTTGGAGAAATAGCCCGATGGTAAGAACACTTGTGCTTGGATCCCCAGTACCCATGTACAAAGTAAGGCATGACTGTGTTGTGTATGCCTGTAACCCCAGCATGGGGGTTTTGTTTTATAGCCAAGGCTGGCCTTGAACTCATAGTGAGCCTGCTGGGATTTTGATGGGGAGTACATTTATCAATTTTAGTCATATAATCATTTTAACAAATACTTATATAGTTTATGGATTTACATAAAACAAAATCATAGAGAAATAAAATAAATAGGTTTCAATGAAAGTATAAGTTTTAGAGCAGAAAGGGTAATTAATACAAATAATACGTAATGGGAGTGAGTATGGCGGCACGTGTGTGTAATTTCAGTGTTCGGAGGCTGGGCTAGGAGTATTACCAACCTCTGTGACATGAAGGGCACTAGGTCAGCTAGCAAGGACTGCACAGGAAGAACCTATCTCAAACAAAACAACCTTACCTCTGCAAACAAAACAAAACAAAAACAAAAGGAGGTTCTTAGGGTTGACCCAGGCCAACCTGGGTTTCATAAGACCCAGTTTCAAAACAAAAAGACTCTATTATAGAGATTGAGTTGGTTTCTTAGAGCAGTGATTCTCACCTCTGGGTTGTGACCCCTTTGTGTGGGGGTCAAGGCAGCCCTTTCACAGGGGTCACATATCAGATATCCTGCATAGCAGATATTTACAATAAGATTCATAACAGTAGCAAAATTACAGTTCTGAATCAGTAACAAAAATAATTTTATAGTTGGGAATCACCACAGCATGAGAAACTTTATTAAAGGGTTGCAGCATTAGGAAGGTTGAGAACCACCGCCTCAGAGTAATATAAATTAAAAAAATTTAAAGGTCTCAGTATTTAGTTCAGGCTAGCCCCAAATTTATGATTCTTTTGCTTCAGCCTCTGGTTTGCTGGGATTATAGGTGTGTACTACCACACTACCTAAGGCATTCCTTTTTAGGTGAGCTTTTCTAAGATTTTATTTTCTTTCTCTCTTGTATTTAAACTGGGGGTTGAATGTGGTGCACATGTTGGGCAGGCTCTCCACCATTTTCTTAAAATTTTTAAATACGAAAGTCTGTATCATTGTGAATGATGATAGGTTATTTACTAAATTGTGTAATTTTAAGTTGTAATCGTTATAATCCCCCACCCCCAGGATTCTCTGTGTAGCTCTGACTGTCTTGGAACTTGTTCTGTCAACCAAACTAGCCTCAAAGTCTGAGATCCTTCTGCCTCTGCCTCCTGAGGGCTGAGATTAAAGGTGTGCACCACGACTGCCTGGCAAGTTTTGCAATTACTTTTATGCCTAAAATAATTTGTCTTGTCATTGGATGACTTTGTCACTTAGCTCTGTCTACTTAGATAAAGTCAAAATATGGGTTGTTGGCTTTGAGTGAGAGAAACACTGGATTTTACTCTGGATTTTTGTGTAAGTATTGAGTTGTAATAGTTCAGGAGGAGTTTTTTTTAACGTTTAAAAAACATTTTAGTGTGTGTGTGTGTGTGTGTGTGTGCATGTGTCAGAGGGTAGCTTTCAGAACCCATTCTCTCTGCCGTGTGAGTTCTAGGGATTACATGCAGATCATTTTAGCAGCCCTTTACATGCTGTTGTGGGGCAGGGGCTTCAGTTTCTACTGTAGTTGAGTTTGAAATTGGTAATCTTCTGTAGTAAATGGAATTGTGCATAAATGCAGATGAAGAACTGACTCGGGTAAAATATAGATCATTGCTGTTTTTATTTGACACATTGAGAAAGGAAAAGAACTCAGGGAATTTTGAAGTTAGGTTTTATTTATGAAATCTGAACAGAGTAATTTATGCATATTTAGAAAGAGCAAGCGTTCCGACTAAAATATGATTTCTACAGGGATTGCCTGCATACACTCTGCAGTTCTTCGTATTCCAGTAGTTATGGTCTTGCTGCTGAGATTAAGGAAGATGTTCTTTCATGTGGAAATGGTCATTTATTTTTTTAAGAAATACCTTTGTTCTAATAGAACTCTGAATTCTCATTCATTATTCATTAAATAATCACTTTAAGCTCTTCACAGAAGGCAAGTACTGTTAAGGCTTATTGTGTTTAAAACAATACAAAGATATATGCATCATATATTTATAATACAGTTTGTAATCTTTTC